TTCAAGTTATAATGTCCTTTACTTCCAGTAGTGCTAAAGCAGTATTGATTGCAGTGTTGCAAGAGGCATTCTTTGTATCAGACAATGATCAGTCATCTTGGACTTTAAACACCCAATACTATTTTAAGAGCAGGAATCCACTAGATTCTAGAGTCCTGATCCATTTCCAAGTTCATAAGTTACATTCTGACCACTAAAAAATATTATTTTTCAATTAAATTTTCTGATAGTTTTCCTCTCTACAGAACAATTTATTACAGAACAGGTGAAGTGCTTCTACCCGGATGTGCTGCATTTCAAATAGCATTAGAAAGATCTGAGTTTGGAACCATTTGCTTTATTAGTCTAGCTCAATATCAAATTTGCTATAAAAAGGATGGCGCTGCCCTGTCTCTCCCACAGTGTTTATTTCCTTGATCATTTATATTACAAAGTAATTGAGGCACCTTAGAGAAACTATCATGAGCATTTAAATTCTTAAATTCTGTGGTTTACTTTCACAAATTTCCTACTGGTTTCTTCCTTTCCTAGTAGCATTTAGTTTATTGTTTTGGTTTATACATTACTAGTTCATAACTATTTCAAACTCTAGTTACACTAAAATACCTTAGCAGGATTAAGTAACAGTCCTTGGGTCTGCATCCTGGACCCATTAGGATCTAACAGCTGCGTAACTCAGGAATGGATGCTAGAAGGCAATCTCTACATTATCAGCAATCTCTACATTTTCAGCAGTCCTCACAACATGACAAAAATAGCCTAAAACACAGGTGGGAGCATTTTCTACAAACCTGACATCCCTCAATAGCTACTCCTTCTTCCATTCTGGCTTTCATACTGTATTGTGTTTCTCTGTGTGGAATTAACCTCAAGTCCAACCATGAACAGCTACAAAATTCTTATTTCACAAAGTGCAGAACCTCAGTAGTTCCAAGTCTTTGTTGAATTTGTGGCACTTAACATTTCAGTTGTCTGACAGACACAACGGGAGAAACCCAAGCTGAGTAATTTCTAGTTTATTGTGTTGTGTATGCGCTGGAGTACATGAGCTTGAAGATAGTCTGTTTCTAAAATGTCTGTGTTGCTTTGGGTTGAGTAACAAACAGTTTTGCTGCAATGGTAAGTTTTTAATATTGAGAACAGAGACTTCAACCATTTGAGAAAAAAAACTGAATTGAACTGGTTAGCTGATAGGGATGCCACATTCTCCAATGGTAGCTTTTTATGGTGAGTTTATAGTTTCCCCCTTGTGAGTGAACCAGCTAGCCTTCACTTTTGTAGTATAAAGTCCATAAGCTTCTAATCATCCTGCAAACATTTTAAAACACAACCCTGCACATCAGTTAAAAGATTAACTGGTCATATTCCTACCTGCAGCTATTAGCAATCACTTAAAAAGGAGGACTGGCTAAAATACTCAGGCTCTCCAGTGGTTCCAGTAACTTGTCATAGCAATGGAGAAGACAGGCTAGAGCACCCTCAAAATGCTGGTATGTTACTATCTATTTCTTGCCTATCTTTCCAACAAAAAGACTCTGTGCTTACAGCATATCTAACCATCATTGTCAATTCATGGTGCTGAACTGCCCCAGCCTCAACACCCTTGGGAAGATCAGTCTTGTTCGTGGGTTGGCTGAAACAGTTTGCTCTTCCATGTCTCTGCTTATTAATTAGCAGATAGCAAACCATGGTAAGCACAACACTAAGAGCCACTATTACTGTTACACTGAATTTGGATATATTCCTGAAATTAATGCAGCAGTCCACCTCTCTGGAAATGCAGAGTAATTCAAGAACTTGATATATAAGTAAACCTGTATATATCTATCCAATGAAAAGATGTCAGTCTCATATATGTCCTAAATAAAGACCAGCCAAAATGCCATGCTGAACTGGTTCAGAGGTTTGCACAGTGTTTATTATAAAAGAACTCCATTGATTTAGTTGGCTACTTGCCCTGACACTGAGAGGGTCCACACAACTACAGAAAGTCACCATTGGTAGTTTTGTAGAGTTTTTACACAATTTAAAGGCCTTTTATTCTGAGACTGCTTTGAAAACAGTAGCACAAATTTTGCCAGTCTTAACTTCCAAGATGGCCAGCACATTTTGTCAGAAACACATATTATATCTGAAATATATGTATGTATTACATACCTAACATAAAAAAAAAGACTGATGACAGGTTAGTGGTACTGGCTATCTTGCTGAAGAAATGTGTAACTATACATTTAATTCCATAACATCAAAAAAGCTGTAACAGTCAAGATATTGATCATTAACTGCTAACTAAATGTGAGCTATTCAGATACACGTTAGTTATGAGTTATAAAGCACTTAAGCCATGCTGTACTTAGGAAAAAAAAGTGATGTTTTCTTCAAGAGACTTCATGCAGGGAGAATTAATAACAATATGGTGGTGTTTTTAATGGATCAATTCACAAAGTTACAGTGCTTTCCATAGAGCTGGACTGCTTACTGTATACTTTTTAATTTATTTATAAAGAAAAGATATAGGGATAATGACTGCCCTGGAATAAAGCAGAGTATGTACACTTCAGTAACAAAATAAGTTAACTACAGCCTGATATTATTTACCCAGGCTGATCACAAAAACTTGGCTTACATGAGTTTGTTTAGGGCATCTAAAATTTTGCTTTATCAGAGGGCTTAAAAGGCACACACATTTATCCCGGGGAAACAGAACAGAGGTAGAAAGACATCAGGTTGAACATAAGGCCATAAAAAAAAGACCAACCAAAAAAAAAAAGAAATCAACCTGCGGTCTTAATACATGACTATGTTTAAAATGTCAGCCAACGTTTCAAAAGACATTCATTAAACACAATTTTGAATAAGCACTATTGTTTTCACAATAATATACAAGAGGTGACAGCCAGCAGATCTAGTTGAGAGCGCGCTATCGGGACTGTAAATACTCTACAACAGCAAACACAACAGTTTTGACCTATACACTGGCCAGGTCTGTCTACAGAAAAATAAAATTATTCTGATTCTCCTACTGTCTAGAAATCATTTATAAGTCTGTAGAGTGCTCATAACTTCACATCACAACTTTGTCATTGGATTCATACAGTACGGGCAAACCACTTCACTTCTGTGACTACAGTGGTTTCCCCACTAGCACCCAGACAGATTATTTTATGTTTAGAGGTCTTGTAAGAAATGGAGCCATTTGTAAATAGGAAATCACTAAATTCTAAATCCTATTCCAATTTTATTTTTCAAGGTCCAAACACATTTCATTCCAAAGAAAAAATCACTTGGTACTAAGCATGTTCGATATATACTGGGACACCCTCCTATGCAAAAGAAACTAACCAGGAAGATCATATTTTGCACTTAAAGATCCCATACCTAAATTCGCTTGCACATCAGAAAAATGTACATCTAACTTAATTATTAAAGTGCAGATTCATTATATTTAATCTGCACCCACAGCATTATCATCACCCGAACAATTAAAGATTCCAGAACCTGAGATTTTCTACTCAGTGCTTCCCACAATGGGCCTCCCAATGCTAAAAACCCAAACTGTACGAAAAGTAAAGCCTGGCAAGGTACGAGCACTTGCTGGTAGCTAAGGCTGTGCTTAATCTTATAAAATATGATTTCTCTGAAGACTGAGGCATCAATAATAATGTAAAGTATGCCATTGCATTAAGCAATTTATTGAAGGTGATTAATCAGTATTTATGGAGTAGGTATAGTTGTAAAACTGGGGCTTATTTTATATATTTAAATCTTTGTCAAACCAGAATACTTGTGAAAATTAGAAAACTCACAACTACATTTGCTACTCTCATTATAGCACGGAAAGCCTGAAACTTTCTGAAACCTTGTACATATTTCCCACAATTAAAAAGCCTTGTGTCTCAGGCAAAGTAAAGTGTGTAGGGAGAGGTAATATTGTAGGCACTAAATACAAGTTCCATGTTTTTGTTTTAATTGCAAAGCAAATTTAGACTTGATTAGGCTTCTGGGTAAGCTTCTCCTCCTTCCCACCACCCTGCAAATGCTGTATTCCACCTCCCAGTCCAGTATCCAGTGAATTAAAGGCTTTGAATAAACAGGTTTTTCCTGAAAGGATGTTGCTGTATGCTGCCCTGATCATCTTTTATAGCTTCACCAGGGAACAATAAGAAAAAGCTGGAAAAGTTAAGTGACGCATAACATAGGAGTTTTTTTGGGAGGGAGCACTTCTGGTTTAGTCAAACTTGAGCTTTTTTTTTTTTTAAGTGTTAGAAATTACAGACCTTTATAAAAATTTCCAGTAACATGTCTGATTCTATTTTAGCCACATATTACGTTTTTCATGTATCTTCTAGAAATTATTTTCCACAGTATCTTGTGTTCTCAATCTTTGTGCTGGGCTGCTAAGTATGCAATTTTCAAAGCAAAATGCTTAATAAGAGTACTCCTTTTAATCTTAGGAAAATCCAAACATAATTCAAATAGCTTCTAACAAAAGCTCTCTTTAAAAAGAAACCCTGAGGTCAAAAACGCACAGGAGGGCCAAGCTGAAGTATTAACGTCAGTAGTAAGTTTATAAAACACGAACAGTGTTAACTTCCACAGTACTTAACTTGTGCATGTCATACCACATTAGAGTGCTTCTAATTCCACAGATCAGTAGCTGTGGGGAACAGCATACAAAACACTAATTACTACACAGCTGATGTAGTTACAGAAAAAAAAGGTGAACAGACATTTAAAAATCCAACTTCAAGTATTTATTCTATTTTAAAATGATAGCTTGAAATTTCTTGGAATAATTGCTGTTTCTAGAATAAAAATAAAATTCTGCAAAACTTTCTGCAAAACAAGTAGCCTCATTTTATGCAACCAGCCATCATGATTTATGAAAAGGTTCCTCAAAAACAAAGAACAAATATTAAAATAAAGAGGCACGGTAAAGAAATTTATTTGCAAAACTCTTCCAAGACGAAAGATTGGCAAATGCATTCAAGGGGTTATTTTTTAATTCCAGTTCCCCGTGAATTTGTTTAATGCACTTATTGAATCAATCCATTTCTCTGGGCAAACAAATCATGACGTATAGCTCAAAATTAAAACACATTCTGTAATCACGTATGTGTTTTCTCAAACATTCCATATCTGCCTGAGGGAAGAGAAAGTCTCTCTGGCACAGACCCTCAGTGGATTTGGAAGAAGTTATATACCTGGAAACTAACCACTGTAGAAGAAAGGAAAAAACATTTTGAACAAGTGGATATAATGAACTGCTCTCATGTACAAAATTCTTTGAAATGGGCAGTTATTTTCAAGCCTGATTCCAGGAAGAAACACAAATTATTCTAAAGTATTTTTACAGAAAGCTGAACACTATTGCTTAACTTGCTTGTGCCTTCAAAGACCAATTTAAAAAACATCATCACACATTTGAAGATGAGGTCTGGAAACCTGGAAGTGCCTATCAAAGCAAGATTTATGCATTGCATAACAGGCAGGATGTTCCACTCTCATGAGGAAGTGCAAGTACACAGCAAAAGGAAAGCCAAAACAATCTTGAGGGCAATGCTGCAGTAAAATGCAATTACTGAGCGCTTAGTTTGTCAGTGCTGCTGGGAGAGCAATAGAAGGGATTATTTAAAAAATCAGTAACTTTGTAAGATGCAATAGTCACAGTCAAAGCATTTTCATATATCAATTCTCTGTTGTATCCAAAAGATTTTTTTTTTTTTTTTAATTCAGGAACCATTTTTTCATTTGGAGACCATTTCCTTTGCAAATGAACGCACAAAGAACAATGGCTTTTCTCTTTTCAAAAGATCTTTGAAGGGGGAAGCTTGCCCAGTGGCTAAAGCACAATATCAAAACTTAATTTCATTAACAGATCTGGTAATACTCTTCTCCGACCTTGCTTCCAGTTCTGTCTCTGCAGCAAGAGGTTCCTACAGACATGCTACTTCTGAAATGTTATGAGACAGAATTCCAAATGAAAACCACTTACAACAAAAAGCACAATGTTTTCCATGCAGCTCTCAAGCTCAAGCAATACCAAGCAAGCAATCATCAAACTGCAAGATTATCAAACAGATCACCACAGTATTTTCCTTTTATCTGCACCATTTGGAACGCCCACTTCATCGCAAGCGTCAAAGGGCCATGGGCAGAAATATTTCAAGTGAGCAGCAGTTCACATCAGTGGCTTATAGGGATGTTATGTAATGTTGTCCTCTCCGAAGAGGAAACGAGCACTTACACTTGGCTACCCAAAGATTTCCATCAAAACATAGACTTCTGTGTTTCACCAAGCTTTGGAGTAGAGACAATCTTTGAGGCAAAAAAAAAAGCGATCCCCAAATATTTGCAATTGCTGGTTTACATCTTGCCTTCTAAAGAAACTAATTTTCACTAGATTGCAGCCACACTTGTTAATGATTTAAACAGCAAAACATAAATATTAAATGAAAGGGATAGTTATATCAAATTACTCCATTATGTTGCTGCAGCAAAGACAGCTTTCAATTATTTCCTAAATAGGAATCTAAGAAGATTCCAGTAACAAAATAGCCTTGTCCAGTACATGATTGCATCACCAAGGATACTTCATATATATATATGTATATGCATGAACACAAATATACAATAAGCAAAACTCCTTATTTCTGCTTTGAGTCAGGCGTACCATCAGCATAATCAAGAAAAAATAAAAAGACATCAAAGGTCAAATTTTACATCATTTGTTTCCAGCAATTCAAAAATTCAGTATGCTTTCAACACACAAATGACTAAGTGACCAAAGGAGCTAAAGATTTTATACAAAAAAAAAAGTTATAAAAAGCAGTTTCCAAGATGGCTTCAAAATTAATCAGCATCTTTCTAGGTCTGCAGTGCTGAAGTCCTGTTTTGCTGCCCTGCCCTTTTCTTCGCAGAAGTGATAGTAACAGACTGGAAAGCACTTCACTCCAACACTTTCCTTTTCTTGGCATGAAGAAGTGTCAGACTTGGTCTTGACATGTACAGCTTCATCTCAGTGTTTATGTAAATACATACCAACATGCTACACAAAAATTATTTCTTTACCGTGATCAAAATACATGTGTCTGATATTTTATGTTTGGAACACAATCCAGAAGTCAAGGTTGACTTTGCAATTTCCTGAAATTTCCTTGATGTCAAACCAAGCACATTTCTACCGTATATATCTGGGCCTTATACACAGCAGCAAGGACACACTTGATCTCATTCTGTCACTCTGTACATCAGCTATGTGTCAGGGTACAGAATGAATTAAACTGTGAGCCAAGTCTCGCTGCAGTGAGGCTGAAAAAAGACCGACTCCAGCTGTGTCCCTTTTTCTAATGGTTTCAGTTTATAAGTTTGGTATGCTGGACACAGGTTCATTATATTAATTACAAATCCTGACATTAAAATCAATTATTACTATGCATTCTAAATTTACAAGGGCTCTACCTGATATTGAACCAGCTAGTAGCGCTGCAGTAGAAAAAAGGTCTCTAATGGAAAGTTATTGCCAGCAGCTGCTCTGTTGTCAGAAGGCTGCATAGGCAGGCCCTGCAAATCAAACAGAAACTGAACAGTTCACGAAGAACTGAACTGTTCCTGTGTCTGAATCCACAAACTCATTATTAAATGTATTTCCATTTCTTTAGGGTGGTTTATAACACGAGACATATTGCACGGGTTTTATCTTCAGATCTTTTGCATTATTTTAAAGTAGGTCACCCTGGTTCTTACAGCATGGCTAGAAATACTGCAATCATTTTGAAATTTTTACTTTTGCTCTCATTTGAAGATTTTGAAAAATAACCAACTAAATGTAAAAGAACTCTTGGGTTTTTGGATTTGGAGTTTACAAAAGACACACACACACATAAAAGCTAGATTTAACTAGTGGTCAGATGAAGAGAAGAGTACTTCTGTTTTAATTTTTACTGCAAATTAGGTTCAACATTATGCAGTTCTTTTCTAATTCATAAAAAGTCAGCCTAGAAGGAGAGGTTGAACTGCCAGACAACCTGCCTTCTGCCAGGATAAGGCCATATTAAAATATAGGAGACCACAAACTGAAACTCGTCCAGATCTATTTTTGGTGATGATTTAATGGCCAGTAACCAAAATTTGCTGCCATTACTGAGGAAAGCAAACTGTGTTGATTACCACCATGTAAAAAAAAAAAAAAAAAAATCAAAGTTTCCAAAAAATGCTACAAAAATTATGTTGCACTACAAGTCCGTATGATACTGTAAAACAAAATTCAATCACTCAATACTTTTTCTCAGATGTGGTACATTCTCAAATACTTCAGAAGGCCTCAGATCTTTCATACTTCATCAGGCAGCACTTTTTTTCTTACTCCTTTTTGTAGATCTACTTGCTACTTTTAACTCAATTTGTTCATCAGCTATTTCTGAATATGTGCAAGTATTAAGCTGAAGGAAACTGGCTAATACAGATGTCTGGTGAGCAACAGATGGGTCTGGTGGTCATATATTTATATGACCACCACTATTAAAAAAAAAAAAACACGATTCACAGCTCGGAGCATAATTCACACTATGGCATTTTAAGTTAGCTATACATATTATTTTTTAGTTGCAAGCACAGAAGTCGTACAATCAGACTGTACTGTTCAAATCCCCAACCCTTTCTAGGGCATTTTAATACACTTACGTGTTATTTTTCTTATGGATGTAACAGAGTATGCTCACCTGAAAAGGAAAAATGTTGTCAGCTCTATTCAAACTGTCTTCCATCCATGATTTTGGAGCAAAGGCCGAGCTGGGTCGAGCATATTTCTGCAACTGGATATGATTACTTGCAAAATTCTTCTTTAAGGGCGAGATGGAGTTCAGGGGTGTTATCCCTCCGTTCAGTCCCCTGCGGTGGTCTCGGCCTTGGGACCCACCCCACCCACCGTATCCACCGCCACCAGGGCTCCATGAAGATGGTGTAGGCGATGGACTTTGGTAGCTGCTCCATGGAGAAGGTGGCTTGTTAAGATTATTAGCCAAATGAGGCAATTGATTAAAAGCAGCATTTCTATGTGTGAATGGAGGTGGATGAGGACTTGCAGGAGACCTTCTCTGTTGCTGATGCTGATTGTGATGATGCTGAAAATGGGGGTGATGAGGGTGGTGTTGAGAGAGGGGTCCAATTTGGGGGGAAAAGCTACCACCAAAGCCAGGGCTGACGTGATGTGGAAAATTCTGAAACAGCAGAGCACCATTATTAGCTGAGGCAGTAGGGACCCCTCCCTGGTGAAAAAAACTTGCATCTTCATTGATTATTGTAGAAGAAGAAGGAGCTATAGCTGCAGACCAGTTACTAAAACCAGTCAGAGAAGATGCAGTGGATGTCAAGGGCTGCGTCGAAGTACCCAGCCCCGAAGCCTCTTGATAATCAAATCCTGTTAACACCGGCGATTCTATTCTTATTTTCTCCTTTCCATTGCCGTTCTCTGAAGAATTATCGCCCTGATTTTCTTCAGTTTTAGCTTTCTCAGGTTCAGAGAGCATGCCTGCTTCCTGACTTTGACCAGGGGAAAGCTGCTGTTTTTCTAGGGACTCTTGCTTTTCCTGTTGCTGAGTTTTAGATTTTTCTGACCCCAGAATCTCATCCTGAATATTATGGGCAGCTGGAGCAGGAAAGAGCCAAGCTGACCCAGCACTACTGCCATTGGCAGCTGTGTTATTATTTATAAAAGCAGCAGGGCTGGGGGTTGCATTTTGATGATGGTGTGGAGGCTGCAGATGTGGATGAAATCTGACTGGAAAAGCTGACTTATTTCCAGTGTTGTTTTGCACTAACACTCCAAACCCGTAATCCCCCATTTATTATATTTAGGGTTTGAATCCTCCCTGTAAGAACAAGTTGATGTTTAGTGTTTACCTCGTCCTCTTCTGAGGCGAGATTAGCAAGTATCCTGTTTTTAGCTAGATATTCCAGTTTCTCCCTCCACGCTATTTATTTCAGATTTGGATAAAGATGTTTGCTTTTTGCAAAAGATAGATCTCTTCAACTATTTAAATGTGCCAATTTGTGTCCGTTTCCTTCCTTTGGCCAGGAGGAAGGGAAAAATAAATCTTTGGTTCACAAAATAAGAGGTTTCCTTTTTCTAAAGGAAATGCACAGCAACAAGAGAAAAAGGTTCTGGGGAATAAGGATAAAGAGATTCTAACTATTCTGTTTTTTTCCTCCTCAGCAGCCTTGACTTGCCCATAAATGAGTTAAGAGGGAAGGGAAAAAAAAAGAAAATACAATGACGTCTAGTCCCCCGACCCCTTGGCAGCAAAAAATAGATTTAAATCTGGAATAATTTAATATATCTCTATAATCTAATATATATTTGTGTCCTGTTCAAAAAGAGTCTTTGCTGTGGGTAAGGGAAAAATTTACCTCAGGATCTCAGCATTCAGAAGGGTGAAAAGGGGGAGTGAGTTACAGAAGAGGCTTTTTCCCGTGCTGCTGGGTTTAACCTATTATATTTAGTAATAATATACACTCTGTGTGTGTGTATGCGCGTGTGTGGTTGTTTAAAGGGGTAAGATCTTATCTCAGGAAATTAGTATTCTATGTGTGTTGGGTGGGGAGTGAGTTGTGCAGGAGAAGGGTGGATGCTGGATGCTGCTCCTTTTGGGCTGGGTTTCTGAGCTCGCCAGACTCGCTTCTTATTTATGATCCAATATTTGTGTGTCCTTCATATGAGTCCTGGCTGTCCGAAGAGGAAGATTTTCATCTCAGAAATCAGCATTCAGCGCTCGGGAAAAGGGAAGGGAGGGGACAGCGAGTTGTGCAGGAGGAAGGGGAAGGAGATTTTCTTGCTCTCACTGCTGCTGGGAGGGTGGTTTCTGGTGCGGGGCTCGCCTGCTTCCACCGAGATATGTGGGCTCCCTGCAGACCAGCGGGCCCCTGGCTGAAAGGCCGGGTGGATATGCGTTAGATGTGTTTCTCCTCCTCAGGGACTCGGCATCCAGCGGGGCAGGGGCGGGCGGCGCAGGCAGGCTCGGCTCGCCAGGCCCCGGCTCTCTGTGGGGTGCCCCCCGCGGTGTCCCCCCTCCCTCGCAAGAGTCCTGGTGTCGGGGAAGGCAGGAGGGATTTTTTTTACCTCAGGAGAGGAGCAGCCTCCGGCAGGGAGGGGAAGGTGCAGGCGGCAGGGGGCCGGGCTCCTCTCTCCCCCATGGAAGGTGTTTAACCGGTTCTCCCAAATCGCCCGGAGATTACGGGACAGGGTCTCGGCCGCTGAGCGCA